GGAGCAGCCACGGGGACCCAGACAGCCATGTCCACAACAGGTGCCGGCAACAGCGGACCCTCTGCCCCAGCAGCAACCCCTCGCCGTGCTCCTGCACTGCCATCTACCCCAACAGGAGGCGTTGCTCACGGCGGAAGTATGACGTACTTCTCCCCCTCCGCCGCCCGCGAAGTGAATGCAGCCGCTAGCGGCTTTTACAACACAAGCGGCCCGAAACTACGCGACATCACCCTCCGCCCTCCGCCTCAAGTCCCCATGACCCTGGAGTACATGAACCGTACCATGGATCCGTTCCTGCACGGTCCGCCGTTGTCTGAAACCATAGCACGGGAGTACGCTATACAAGAAGCCGAGAGAATGGCGCTCCGTAACAGTGGTGCTTCTGGACCGTAAGTTCGCCTTGCTATCCGCACTTTATACAGTGTACTGACTATCGTAGAAGCGACCCCAACACCACTCCCTACACCCGCGCCGACCTTCTCCACAACACCCGCTCCGTCGTCGGCTTCTACACCGCGGCCCGCAAAATCTGCCGGCCGGACCCAGAGGACGAGCTGCACCCGTGGATCGTGCACGAGCGCTGGCTCCATACGCCCGAGCAACTGCGCATCGAGTTTCTGGGCCTCATCTATGAGATCGATTGCAAGATCTACGAGACTGATAACAAGAAGACGAGGAGGATGAAGGATGAGGTCGCAGACAAGATTTATGCGGCGTTGACGAGAAGTCATTTCGAGGCCATTGGCAGTTTGGGTGAGGGCGTTGTGTGGTATGCTGAGGATGAGGTTTCTGCTAGTGAGGGGGAGGGGGACGACGACGAAGACGACGACGACGACAACGAGAGCGAGGATGATAATGACGAAGACGATGACAAATCTGGCGGTGACGATGGCGATAACGACGACGACGACGACGACGACGACGACAACAACAATGCTCAATCCTCTGATGACGGCGAGCGTCCTCGCAAGAAGGTCAAGCACTGAGTCTTCGATGTTACTGAGGAAAGACACCGAGAGGAAGGGCTTTCGCCATGATTTTGTAACGACGCGATACGATACATGATATTCTGCATGCTTTCATTGACGGACAAAGGGATTACTCAAAAAGCGAGGCGTTTGCGGCGTTGATTCTCATTGCGATACCCAAAACAGCATTCCCTTTTTCACACGGAGTTCTACACCAGACCTTCATTTACAACACCAGCGTGCTTCCATACCTACATAGTTACACATGAAATACACAAAGACTTACGTCACCAAACCACTTTCCCCTTTTTTCCTCTTCCTCTCATCCACCCGTAGGGGAGGTGGGTAAGTTAGAGAGATGGTAGAGCTGGATGTGGTGCTGTGATTGAGAGGTATCGAGGTTATGAGAAAAGGGGAGGAAGGAGAGAGGAATAGAAGATGACAAGGCAAGAAACCAGAATTGAAATGCTACCCAGAATATACTCACCACTTACATCAATACATACTCCATTCAGTTCCTCTGCCGTTCACCCTACATTGTACTGTACCTTAAGGTAAGTTGTAGGTTCCAATTCAGGTCCCGTCCAGCCCAGCCAACAATGACGTCTGCCCCTCTGCCCCGCAATGACACCTGCAGCCCACAGCCCACCCGCAGGTCTGGGCAGATCAACGTTTCACCTTCCCGGAACTTAAACCACAGTACCTTTACCCTGCCTTACCAACAGGACCACCACCACCTATAACTCCTCCAACAGCCACCGCATACAGCAACAATGGTCGCCCCCCAATCCCCCGAATTCAAAAAGGCCGTCGCCGACAGCCGTAAGCTGAAGGCCAAGCCCTCCGACGACGAGCTGCTCCAGGTACGATGCTATACGAACTACACCGCTGCTCGGACGTCTTGAGGCTTACGGGCTATGGGATCGAAGGGGAAGAGAGAAGTGGGAAGAAAGGAGAGGGAATGGAAGGCTGACTATGTGGTGTTGTTCTAGCTCTACGGTCTCTTCAAGCAGGGAACCCAGGACCCACCGATCGAGGAGTCTGCGCAGCCGGGCATGTTCGAGCTCAAGGTACGTTCGCCCCTACCTCCGAACCTCTTCATTTGCCTGCGAGGGTAGAAGGAATAAGTACCATCGGAGGAGAACCAAAATGAAAGAGCTGGCATGGGAGGATATCTAGGCAAATGCTGAGACCATGCAACAGGAAAAGGCGAAGCGCCGCGCGTGGCAGAAGCTGGTCGACGAGGGCGTCAAGTGGGCCGATGCGCAGAAGAAGTATATTGCGCTTGTCGACTCGCTCAAGCAGAAGTACGGTTTCGAGGGTTAAATTTCCTTTACAATCAAACCATCTCGATATGCGCTGCCGAAAGAGGGAATACACAGAGATGAATGCTCAATACCACTATATCTATACCTGCCTTAACCTGCGTTGCGTAAGGTAGTCTGAGATCCCGGCCGAGCTGTGCGGAGAAAGAATGCTCAGTCGCTGTCCTCGGCAACCGACGTACTACATGCCCCGAAGCTGTCGAGGGATGTAACTACCAGAAGCCGGCGCTACCTCTATACGTACACGGGTGATCTAGGTCCTAGGCTGGTAACCCTGCCACACCACGCCCCGCCAATCCGGCTCCAGATGGTCCGCCGTGGCGCACCACGGGACATCATGCTCTCCATACGGCACCAGGGGCAGGTCATACGGCATCCTGAAGCCCACGACCGTCCCACCTCTCTTATCCTCCTTCTCCTTCTCCACGCCCTCCACTCCCTCCCCTCCCTCGCCCCCACCGCCCTCAACCCCAGCCCCAGCCCCATCTCGCCCAAAAACCGGCACCATTTCCACCCTTCCCTCATTCCCCTCCCCCTCCCCACGCCCACGTCCAGCGAACAACCCCGGCCATACCACAACGCCAATCTCATAACTATGCACCCTAACCTCGCCGTTTTTGTTGCCCAGTTCGCCCCACGCTTGTTTCGAGAGATTGGCGGATGTGACCATGGCCCAGTCGATGCGAGAATCCCGTGAGGAAGAGGGGGAGGAGAAGCGGATGTAGGTTTTTATGTGTGGCGCGGCACGGCGGCGGTGGGATTGGCGCACTGAGCCTCGGGCTTGTGGGGGGGTGGTGGGGAATGTGGTGGTGGTGGTGGTGGTGGTGGCCCTAGAATTGGAATCGGAATTGGAACTAGAGAGGGCGGATACAGCATCACCAGCCCAGTGACACAGAAACGGTTTCAGATACCGGAGTTGCCTTTGCTGGGCCGGGGACGAAAGTTTCATGTGGATGGAGTCGCCGGAGCGGTAGCCGTCCAGCGAACGCCGGATCTCGTCCGCGGTCGGGAAGATCAGGTTGATCTTTGGGTTTTGCTTTTGTTGCGGAGAGGAGGTTGGAGACGGGTTGGTATGTTGGGAGCGGGAGAAGAGTGAGTACGGGCGCTTTGCGGATGCGGTGGCGGTTGTAGTGGTCTGAGAAGACGCGAGGCTGGGACTGGAGGTGGTAGTGGAGGTAGAGGTGGACGGGGCTGTGGTGCCGAGGATATGGAAAAAGGCGTCTAGCCATGCATCCGTGAGTGTTGCGATGGACGAGACTTGGACGTTAATATGAGGCTGCTCAGTCTGAGATGCTGCCCAAATCGGGATCGATCGGAGGACTTGCTTCAAGCCTGGCCAGCCCCAGTCCGTATGCTTGCTCTTCGCCACCGAGGAGGGATTGAACCTTCGCGGCACGCTTGCCACGAGCGCGGCGCGGATGCCAGAGAAGTCGTACTCGCGCAGTTGGGCTACGAGAGAGCGACAGCGTCCCTCGTATGCGTCGAGATAGCGGAGTAAGTCGATCTTGAAGCGTGCGCCTGAGCCGATGGGTGGCGATGGCGCTTCTGCAGCTTTAGAACTCTGGCTTTCTGGGACTAGGAGTGGTAAGAGCGGCGATCTCCATACGGCTTGAGTCATGTTCATCCAGTCCTGGTGGATCATGTTCGCTGTGTGGATGACTACCTGAGCTGAGTCGTCATGCCGGAGTAGGATCATCATTTTACTGTGGTGCGTTCCGAATGGTTCGGGCATGTGTGCTGTGATGAGCTTTACATTTGGCCATCTTTTCGCTTGCTCCTGCAGTGTAGCTCATGTCAATACTCTGGACAATAGCTCGAAGCGGGCGTAAAGCAAGAAGGTATGGTAGAAGCACCGGAGGGGACTTTCCACGTAGGCGGGAAGAAGACGAATGAGATGAAGTATGAACCGAGCTTACAACACCTTACCTCAAGCCTCAATCTACGCTCATCCCCCTTCTTCCAGAATCCATGCACAATCTTCACTTGAACGCTATTCCTTACATCCTCATCAAAATGGTTTCTGCAGACCTACCTTAGCACAATCCTACCTGCACTGCGCGCAAGCTTACATCAAGAACTCAATATCGAACAGATAGTTGAACTGCCAGCATTCCTTGATTAACGGGTCACCCAGGATATCAGAAAGGCTGACAGAGTCCACGTTGGCCTTTGCGGGCAGGTCACGTATTCTAGTGAGCTGAATTGGCGATGGGAGGAAGCTTGTTGGGGCTTTGGGACCTGAATGACTTGCTGGGCACACACTATGTGGCGCTTCTCGATCTGCATCGTGTACAGGGGCGCGCCGCAAGAGTGCCGGAGGACTGATTGCACGCTGGGTGGATATGTCTGAGGAGTCTGGACACCGCAGGTCGAGCGTTCTGATCTCATCCTCAGACTCGGTTTCGGCCTCTGATTCCGTTTCTGATTCACCAACAGGGCTCAGACGACGTCTCTTCGTCGGCGGTTCGTCAGACTCTAGCATCATGGTTTGATCAGGTTGATATGCATGTTCCGGCATGCTCGTGTAGGACAACCTGGAAGCGGCCAGGGAAGTGCAATGCCAAGTCAGAAGCAGCCGCGAAGGGGGCCGTATTCCAGAACCGAAGTCTGCCCGCCAGCTCTCCAGCGAGGAGCAAAAGATCTTGTACATAGAAAGGATGATCTTAGGCGAGCAAAAGAAGGGCAACGAGGCAAAAGAAAATAATCATGGTCCCTACGAGGGTCGAACTCGCGACCTTGGCGTTACACGATTTGACCGGTATTAGCACCACGCTCTAACCAACTGAGCTAAGGAACCAGTTTGGTGAAGGTGGGTCTGGTCCATCTAAAATATGTCCCACACACCTGAATTTGCTAGGGAGCTCCATCTGAACGATACGTCTGCCTGTAGGTTACCATCAACAACTTCTTGCTCATTCGGTTGACTCAAATCTCGCATCCGGTTCTGTCGTCTCGTCCAAGCTGCTGTTACCTGCATAACTCGAGTCTGGTATTGTTGTATTCGTCCATTGCTGACCTCGGCTTGGCATCTCTGCTCCGTGTTCGTCACCACACAGCTTACCTCTCCCCACGTTGAACGTGCCGAGCTCCCAAGCCTAGCACAACTTATTATCTGACTTACGACCCAAGTCTACCAAGTGGATACACAGAGCACTATCAGTTATGTCACTCCCACATAGTCGCCCAGCAATGCGGTTGCTATCGTCTAGACTGCGGCACATTCATCGCCTACCCACCACCGTTCCCGCCGCAGCCTTCCACCAAAGCGTCCGCTCACCGAGCAGATACAGCAACCCCTCATCGCGTAGCAGTGCAGCCCAAGCCATACCAGAACAACAAGCTTCATTCATCGGTCGCAATGTTGAGGAGTCTGAAGACCCAATCGAGCGCCCATCGAACCTGTCCGAGTACGCCAGGGAGCGACAAGAACTAGAAGATGCCAAAGCCTACCACCGCCGGCGCATACGGTTCTCCGCCTTCGGCCTTTTCTTCAGCGTAGCGGGACTGGCAGCGACACTTTACATGGTCGATCTGGATGAGCTGGAGAAGAAGGGGAAGAACAAGAAGACACAACTCGATGCATCACGATCCTCCAACGACAAGTTCCACGGACGTGAAGTCCACGTCATTGGCGCTGGAGACGGCAAACGGATCGTAGCTGAAGATGCACAAGAAGGTCATGGCGAGACCGAGCTCGTAGAGACAGGCACCAGCAGCGTGCCCTACTTCCCCCGGTACATGTACCTGCCTTCCTCAGCCAACTCTGGCACCAGCACCGCGGCGCCAAACTCAGCAGCGAACCCAGGCAACATCCAAAACGAGGAAGAATACACCCTCGTCGGCCTCGGAATCCGCAAAGTCTCTTTCCTCGGCATCCAAGTCTACGTCCTCGGCCTCTACATCCGAACCCAGGACATCTCGACCCTGCAATCCCAGCTGATCCACGCTATCAACCCCGACGCATCTACCCTCATCCCCTCAGAGAAAGACGCCCTGAAGCAGAAATTGCTCGATGCGGACGGCAGCACCCAGGTCTGGGAGAGTCTGCTGAAGCAACAGGGCATCAAGTCCGCCTGGCGCGTCGTGCCCACTCGCAACACAGACTTTGCGCATCTGAGAGACGGCTGGATCACCGGTATCAAGAAGGGCATGCAAGCCGCGAAGCAGCGAGCCCTAACCCCCGACGGCCCAGCCTCAGAGTACGAAGACGAAAGCTTCGGCGCCGCGATGAAAGAGTTCAAAGACCTGTTCGTAGGCGGTGGAGCAGCGCCCAAGGGCTCGATTCTGATGCTGGTCAGAGATGCGGCGGGCAGTCTGGAGGTGCTATTTCAGAAGAAGGAGAAGGAGACGGCGTTTGAGAGGATGGGGAAGGTGGGCGATGATAGGGTGGCCAGGCTGCTGTGGCTGGGCTATTTGGCCGGGAAGAATGTTAGTAGTGAGGCCGCGAGACAGGGTGTCGTGGATGGGTGTGTGAGGTTTGCTGGGAGGCCGGTTGGGAGTGTTGAGACGATGGTCATCTGAGAGGTCGTGCCAACATTATCCAAAGTATGTAGGTAAGGACTGCATCCATAGTCCTATAAGCTGCATTGTACATTATACTCTATCCTCTAGAAGTAACGCGTATGCCCTGACTCTGCTCCCATGAAGCAATGAGCGTAGTCTTATCTCATCACCATCTCTATATGTATATTCGTCTTCGAAATCACTCTATATTCTATACCGTGTCCATGTCCATGTCCCTCAGCCTAAATTCCATGTCTCAAACAAGCATTAATAAGGTAGCTTCGCGTCCGCCCAACGCCAAACCCTGACGGGGTCGACGGGAGCTTCTCCACACTTTCCCCATGTCCCGTCAGTCGTGCAGGGAAGCGGAGCGGCACAGCTGCATGCTTCAATCTCCCGTGACCGCGCCCTGCCCTGCCTGCACCCTCTCTATATCCCGAGTCCTTGCTGCTCCATACTTCACATAGCTCTGACTTACTAGGCCTCTCTCAATGCACATAACCTAAGGACGCCGTCATGTCGTAAATGAACAGTTATATACCTTATCAGCCCGCTCCACGCTTATCGCAGCGCATCCGTCACATCTCCGACCCCAGTTCAGCTACTTGTTACGCACGTGAATGCACCCGTCCACTGTCGCCGCTCGTTGTAAGCTTTTTCGAGGGCCACCGTCGGGCGCCGTGCGAAGATAAAGGCGCCGTTACCCTCATGCGACACCGACATAGGCGTGGGCAGGAGTAATGGTGCAGAAGACCACGACGGCCACGGGCACGGCCACGGCCACGGGCACGGTCTCAGCGAGCCCATCCGACGGCAGCGGCGTCGCGCAGAAGCGGTCGCGGTCGCGCATGTCGTCGAGCGAAGACGTGGACGCCGAGCATGAACCGGATATAGAGCACAACGCGGACGATGACAAGCCCAAGAAACGGCGGCGCGTGGTCAAGATGGCGGACAAGGACAAGAAATACGGGTGTCCGGCTGAGGGGTGTGGGAAGAGCTATTCGCGCGCGGAGCACTTGTACCGTCATCAATTGAACCGTGAGTTTTTGTGATTCCTACTACGCACACTCACTTCAGGGTCCAAATCCAAGACCGAGTAAGGGATGGGATGGGTTTGGGGTTGGGAGAACCTGTTTTGTTTTTTCTGTTTCAAAGGCATCTTGATCTTGGAAACTCTATAACTTGACTTATCCGATTTTGCACAATGGCTGAGCAAAGTGGAGAGAAACAGACGCGCCGAAGCAGATCTACCGCTGCGACTTCCCCGGCTGCAGTCGCCATTTCGTCAGACAGGACCTCTGTGCTCGACACCGGGAAAGGCACACGGCCAAGAACTCGCATCTGCAGAGGAGAGACGTGTTCAAGAATCGGCAACAGGCTGGGGAGCGGGAGTCGAATCAGAATCAGGTTCGGGACGGTGAGGGAGGGGTAATTGTTGGAGGAGTGGGGGAAAGTAATGGAGCAGGGAGACATGATTCTATGTATCCGGTTCAGTCGCCCATTAATCAAGGAAGGCATGCTGATGCTTCTGTCGCTGCTGTCCAGCAGGTCAAGGACGAGTACATGATGCGGCAAGAGATGGAAAGTGCTGGCATACCTCTGGATCCGAGGTTGATTTCTGACGCACACGACTCGAACAGTCAAGGTGCACAGTCATTTGCACTACAATACCCTGCCATGGGTAGGCGCCACAGTATCAGCGATTCGACACACGGCTTCCATTCCCAACACGCCTCGCAATACGTTAATGGCCATGCCAACATCGATCCAAACCTATCTACACACAGTACCTCGAACCCAAACAATCACTACAGCCGACCAGCCGTCTTTGCTCGGCCGCAGTTATATCCTCCACACACCAGCAATCAAAGCATACATTCCACAGCGCAACAGAACAGCTATAACAATCCACAATCATACTCTCCGCTGCACACAACCAACATACCAACACATCTACCCCAACCTTACTTGTCACCATCTCCACACACAACCTACAAATCACCGTCGGGAAGCGTACCGCCCTTCCCCATCCTCGGCCCACCACTCCCACCACACCACTCCCCCACCAACCGTTCAACAATCCCACTAGTCTCACCTTCACCCTCCACCGCGGCACCGGAGCCGTACCGAAACCAAGACACACACCCAGCCTCCTACGTCCACTTCGACAACTCCATTCTCGACGCCAGCCTGCTCGACCAACTCGCCGCGGGGTCATCGATGCCCGTCTTCAACTCCGAAAGCTACAGCCACGAGCCCCAGAACATGGGCAACGACTTCACCGCCTGGCTTTTCAACACCGACCCGCACTTTGTCCAACCCTCACCGTCCCCGGCCCCCCTCGGGCCAGGGAGCGCGGATCCAGACATCTCTCTGCTTCCCAGGCTCGACATACCCCTGTCCGCGACGAGCGAGCACAGCGCCACACCGCACCCCCGGCACCCGCAAGACCCGCATTCCCTACCCTCCGCGCACCAAATTCCCGCCCCAACACCACCCGCCGCGCACCCGCACCCGCCCATCCCCAAAAGGATCACGACGTCGACGCAGCGCGAAAGCATCCTGACCAGCACGCGCGTCTCGCGCCTGCACAACCTCATCTACACCGAATTCGTGGACCGGCACAACCCCGCCAGCCAGGCGCTGCGCGCGCGCCTGCTGGCGGGCGACACGGCGGACCCGAGCCACGTGCTCAGCCAGTGCATGCTGCAGATCCACATGAGCAGCTACTGGCTGCACCTGCACCCGCAGATTCCGATCCTGCACCGGCCGACCTTCGACGCCTCCACCTGTCCCGACCTGCTGCTGCTGACGCTCATCACGCTGGGCGCCAGCTGTCTGGAGTCGAGCCACCAGTACCCGACGACGGCGGCGGGGGTCGAGTTGAGCTTGTTCCTGGCGACGCATATTAGGCATTTGGTGCTCAAGGATGGCGACTTTGTGCCGCCGGCGAAACTGTGGGTGTTCCAGAGTTTGTTGCTCTTGGAGTTGTATGAGAAGATGTATGCGGATCGGGCGTTGCATGAGCGCGCGCATGTACATCATGCTACCACGCTTACGCTGATGCGGCGGGGGAGTTCGCTCATTGGGAGGGCGGCGAGCGATTACCCTCCCGCTTGCAACAACAACACGGCCGTCCCGGGCAATAGTGGCAGTGGAAATGGGAGTGGGAGTCGAAGTCGAAGCACGAGGAACATCAACGACCCGTCATCAACCTTTGGCTTCAGTCCAGGAGTCAAGGACCCAGAACCAGAACCGGAACCAGAATCAGACCCGACCCGAACACCGCCAGGC